AACCTATGGATAGGTAGTACCCATTCAGGAACATAGGCATGGGGGCACAAGACTTCATGTCTAAAACACCAACAGCACAATGGCAGCAAACAAGCCAAAATTGACAATGGGGATTCCTCTTAAACTGAAGAGCTTCCTGCACAGCAAAAAGGAAACATACCATCAGAGTGAACAGGCAACAGGCAACCTACAGAATGGGAGAAAATTTTTGCAATCTACTCATCTGACAAAGGGCTAATATCCAGAACCTACAAAGAACTCAAACAAATTTATTCCTTTACTTTCTTAACAAACTTGCTTTTACTTTACTCTGTGGAATCATCTTGAATTATTTCTCACATGAGATCCAAGAACCCCTCTGGGGGTCTGGATTGGGACCCTTTTCTGGTAAGAGCATCGAAAAATACAATCATACCTTCCCAATGGCCATCCAAAGTCTTGATTCATTCCAGTGTGAATTCAAAAGTCTAAAGTCCCAGTCCAAAATCTTATCTGAGACTCCTCTCCTTCTACCTATGAATCTGCAAAATGAAAAACAAGTTAGTTATTTCTGAAATAAAATGGGGGAATAGCCATTGGGTAAACATTCTTATTCCTAGAGGGAGAAGTCAGAAAAAAAGAAAGGGGCTACAGGACCCATGCCAGTTCAAAACGTAGCAGAGCATCCATCTTAAAGCTCCAAAATAATCTCCTTTGACTCAATGTCCCACACCCAGGGCACACTGCTGCAAGGGGTGGGCTCCCAAGGCCCTGGGCAGCTCTGCCCTTGTGGCTTTGCAGGGATCAGCCCCAGGGCTGCTCCTGCGTGTTGGAGTTGAATGCCTACAACTTTTCCAGGCACCAGGTGCAAGCTACAGGTGAATCTACCATTATGGGGTCTGGAGGATGGTGGCACTACTTCACAGTTCCACTAGGCAGTGCTCCATTGGGAAATCTGTGTGGGGGCTCCAATTGCACATTTCCCCTTGGCACTGCCTTAGTAGAAGTTCTCTGTGAGGACTCTGCCCTTGTAGCAGACTACTGCCTGGGCACCCATGCTTTCTCGTATAGCCTCTGAAATCTAAGCAGAAGCTACCAAGCATTCTTCACTCTTGAACTCTGCACACTCACAGGCTTAACACCACATGGAAATCACCAAGGCTATGGCTTGAGCCCTCTGGAGCAGTGGCCTGAGCTATACGTTGTCTCCTTTGAGCTGAGGCTGGAGCTGAAGTGGCCAGAATGTGGAGAGTAGTGTGTGAGGCTGGGCAGGGCAGCAGGGCCCTGGGCATGGCCCACAAAACCATTTTTCCCTCCTAGGTCTCTGGGCTTGTGATGGGAGGGGCTGCAGTGAAGGTCTCTGAAATGCCTTTGAAGTCTTTTCCCAAGTGTCTTGTGTATTAGCACCTGGCTTCCTTTCAGTTATGCAAATATTTCTAGCAAGTGGTTGCTCCACAGCCAGCTTGAATTCCTCTCCCGAAAAAGCTTTATCTTTCTCTGCCGCATGACCAGGGTGCAAATTGTCCAAACTTTTATACTCTGCTTTCCTTTTAAATATAAATTCCAACATTAAGTCATGTCTTTGCTCCTGCATCTGAGGCTAGGTTGTTAGAAGCAGCCAGGCCACATCTTGAATGCTTTACTGCTTAGAAATTGATTCCACCAGATACCTTAAATCATCACTATGAAGTTCAAACTTCCACAAATCCCTAGAGCAGGAACACAATGCAGCCAACTTCTTTTGCTAAGGCATAACAAGGGTGACCTTTGCTCTAGCTCCCAATAAATTCCTCATTTCCCTTTGAGGCCCCATCAGTCTGGCCTTCACTGTCCTTATTTCTATCAGCATTTTGGTCACAACCACTTAACAAGTCTCTAAGAAGTTCCAAACTTTCCCTTGTCTTCTTCTGAGCACTCCAAACTCTTCCAACCTCTGAGTAATTCTTTGGAATTACTCAGTTCCAAAGGCACTTTCACATTTTCAGGTATCTTTATAGCAATGCCCCACTTCTCATTACCAATTTTCTTTATTTTGCTGTTCCTGCATTGCACAGAATACCTGAGAATGGGTAATTTGTAATAAAAGAGATGTAATTACCTCACAGTTCTGTGGGCATTACAAGATGCATGGTGCTAGCATCTGCTCAGCTTCTGGGGAGGCCTCAGGAAGCTTACAATCATGATACAAGGTGAACGGGGAACAGGCATGTCACATTAGGAGAACAGGAGCCAGAAAAGGGGAGAGCAAGGTGCCATATGCTTATTAACAGTCAGATCTCGTGAGTGAGTCACTCACTATTGTGAGGATTAGCACCAAGAGGATGGTGCTAAACAGTTCATGAGAAATCTCTCCCATAATTCAATCGCCTCCCACCTGGTTCCGCCTCCAATACTGAAGATTACAATTCAACATGAAATTTGGGTGGGAACAAATATACAAACTTTATCAACAACGGGGAAAGGGTTCCCTATTCAATAAAACGTTCTGGGATAGCTGGCTAGCTAGATGCAGAAGATTGAAACTGGACCCCCTACTTTATATCATATATAAAAATCAACTCAAGATAGATTAAATACTTAAATGTAGCCAGGTGTGCTGGCTAATCCCAGCACTTCGGGAGGCCAAGGCAGGTGGATTGCCTGAGGTCAGGGGTTCGAGATCAGCCTGGCTGACATGGAGAAACCCCGTCTCTACTTATAATACAAAAATTGGCCAGACGTCACCACATGCCTGTGCCTGTAATACTGGGAGGCTGAGCCAGGAGAATCGCCTGAACCCAGGGGGCAAAGGTTGCAGTGAGCCGAAGTCATGCCACTTCACTCCAGCCTGGACGAAAGAGTGAAACTCCATCAAAAAAAAAAAAAAAAAAGTAAAACTTAAAATTGTAAAACTCTGGAAGATAACCTAGGAAATACGATTCTGGGCATAGGCCATGGCAAAGATTTTATGATGAAAACACCAAATGTAATTGCAACAAAAACAAACATTGATAAATGAGACCTAATTAAACTAAAGAGCTCCTGCACAGCAAAAGTAACTATGAACAGAGGAAACAGACAACCTACAGGATGGGAGAAAAATATTTGTGCGCTATATATCCCACAAAGACCTAATATCTAGAATCTGTAAGGAAATTAAACAAATTAACAAGCAAAAACGAAACAACCCCATTAAAAAGTGGGCAAGGACATGAACAGACACTTTTCAAAATAAAACATACATGCTGCCAACAAGCAAATGAAAAAATGCTCAACATCACTAATCATTAGAGTAATACAAATCAAAACCAAAATGAGATACTATCTCATACCAGTTAAGAGTGGCTATTGTTAAAAAGTCAGAAAATAACAGATGCTGGTGTGGTTGTGGAGAAAAGGTAATGCTTGCACACTGCTTGTGGGAATAAAAATTAGTTCAGTTGTTGTGGAAGGAAGTTTGGTGATTTCTCAAAAGAACTTAAAACAGAACTACCATTCCACTCAGCAATCTCATCATTGGGTATATACCCAAAGGAATATAAATCATTCTGCAGTAAAGACATATGCATGCATAGGTTCATTGCAGCACTATTCACAATAGCAAAGAAATGCAACCAACCTAAACGCCCCTCAGTGGGAGACTGGATAAAGAGGATGTGGTACATACACAGCATGGAATACTATGCAGTCATAAAAAAGAACAAGATCATGTCCTTTGCAGGGACGTGGATGCAGCTGGAGGCCATTATCCTAAGGGAACTAACATGGTAACAGAAAACCAAATACTGCATATTCTCACTTATAAGTAGGAGCTAAACATTTAATACACATGGACAAAAAGAAAGGAACAATAGACACTGGGGCCTGCTTGAGGGTAGAGGGTGGAAGGAGCATTAAGATTAAAAAAAACTACCTAATGGGTACCATGCTTATTATCTGGGTGACAAAGTAATCCGTACACCAAACCCCTGCGACACACATATAACAAACCTGCATATGTACCCCTGAACCTAAAATAAAAGTTTTAAAAAAGGAAGGAAGCAGGAAATTTAGTGTGTGGTCAAAAATGCTCAGAGAACATTCCAGGCCTTTCATATGGGAAGAAGGGCCGGACAAAGGAAGTGAATGAACATCAAAAGAAGGGTGGAAGGAGAGAAGTATGTGAACTGTGGTGGCAGCTTTGATGATGACTTCACAATTCCCAAAGACTATCTGTGTGTGGGTGTGTCATATCCATGTTGGAAAGGGCAGAATTGTGTGTGAAACGCTCTTTCTAGTAACATTGTAACATCTCAGGATGACAGGACTTGAATTGTTTCACTTTGACTAAATGTGCAGAGGAGAAAGCTGCCTGGAGACTATTGTATTACACACAGCAGTGAGGATGGCTTATGCCGAAAGGTAGGAAGTGTGATAGATGAGAAAAGCACTGGTGGCATTTTGCCAGCTCGCGATAAGTATCTGGCACATCTGCAGCATCACCAAGAGGTCTCTGATTTAGCAAAAGCATCATAAAGATATTTGGTGTCATAAAAGTAACACTTTATTTAACCTTCCTGTACAAACTTTAGGAGCATTAATCTGTCACAGTAGGCTCCATCTTGTACATGTAAATGGATGAGACTCTGTAATCAAATCCTAAATGTGTATTTGTAGCAATACGGCTTTTCAGAAGAATGTATGATGGGAAGCAACAGACGGAGCAGGGGACAATTAAAGAAATAGCACCATGCTCCACGAGACCTTTTACTCCCTGAATGGACTTTCCCAGGACTGCACTGATTTCTGAATTTTCATCTTTATTTACCAGCCAGCACAACTTTATTGGGACTCCACAAGGCCTCTCCTACTCTATCACCTGCAATGGAGACTCATTTAGGCAGAGAGAAACCTTGCAAGTATGTGATTGAAGGAGCATTCTGATTTCCTTTCAATACCAGTTCCAATTACGGATTGCAGATCTGTGTTCAAAATAGTTTGAGTCTGAGAATGGTCCTAAAGAGAAAAATGCTTTGTGATTCTTAGACTTGAAAAGGGCAGGCCGCAGCCTCAGGTCTTGGGATTTCTGTTCAGGGCTGTTCCCACCCATATCGTCCCAGAGAGGCATTTACAGATGTTGCCAGGCCCATTGGATATCTGCCAGTCTGTTTGGAGCTTATGATTTATTGAGACTTAAATTTCAGGAACTAGAAACAAATTCCTCTTGACCAAAACCAAAAATCTTAGATTGCTTTTGTATAAAATATTCATTGTCGGGGGTTGGGGCAGAGGAGAAAGGAAAAGCTTTAGATCTGACTTCAGATCAGAAGAACAAGAATGCATTAAACGATACTGATGTGAATAATATCAGCACATTTTCTTTTTAAAAATCTTTGTAAGATTTGCATATGTATTTATTGTGCAAAGCATATGCATCTTGCCTGGAATATATTTCATTGTGTAGCATATGGTTCCTTTCAGCAAAGGATCTTAAATGACTTTAACAGAAAGAACTCCTCCTTTCATTCACTCCCAGAGAGAAAGGTGCTATTTAAGAGGCAATAACTCTTTCCTAAGGG